AGCAGTGTGCCCGAGGAGGCCCTGATGCCACCCAGTGCCCAGCTCCCATGCCCTGGGTGAGTCGCCTGCCCACCCCACCCACCCCACTCACGGCCTGAGACGTGCAGGCTGGCAGAGCAGAGGGCCTGCCCAGCGGCATTGGTGGCAATGCATGTGTAGGTGCCCTGGTGCTGCCGGCCCACATCCAGTAGGACCAGGCTGTGCTGCTGGGCAGAGCTGGCCATGGTGTAGCCTGGCGTGTCAGGGCTGATCCACAGCACACCCCTCTCGGCCTCCTCCCTGAGCCAGTGCACGGCTGGGGCTGGGAGTCCTGCAGGCAGGACAGAGGGCAGTGGGTACACCCCTGCCAGAAACAGGGCCTATCCCCACTAGGATCAAGGCCTATCCCCACCAAGAACTGACATCTCTGAAGGGGTGGAGGTCCTGCCTGTGGACCTCCCTGGGGGTGATGTGAGTGGGGAGCGAGGTGACTCTGTCCCATCCCAGGGGTGATATTTTCATGGCCAGGAAGCAGGAAACGCCCTACCTTCTACCTTCACCGAAAAAGTGATGCTGGAGCCCTTCTTCACTTTCTTGGGGGTAAACTTCTCCAGGATTCGGGGTGGCACCAGCTGCTCATGCACATCTGGAAGGACACCAGTCAGCTGCCGGTAACACCCCAGCACAGCCCCCACCTCCCATGTCTTGGCTCCCACCATGCCTGGGAGGCCTCTGGGTCAGTCTCTGCAGTCTGCACGCAGTTGGCCCCAGACAGCCCTGTGCTGCCCCCTCTGTGGGGCTGTCTCCTTATTGCTCCTTTGCTGAGCCAGCCCTGTGGCCACCCACAGCTCTTGCTGCCAGCCCAAGCCCAGGGCGATGCCACTCTGGCCCTCAGCACTCACAATCCTGCCACCTCTTCTCTGCCCGTCTGGGGCTGTCTCACCTGATGCTGGCTTCTCTTCTGGTTCATCAGCGCCTGAAAGAGACACCGAAGACAGACATCCAGCATGCATGGGTGTCCCTCCCTTTGGCCCTGCACATGGTGCTGTCCATTCCCCCATCTGTTGGGGGAACCTGAGGGTGGTCCCATCCGATAGGCCAAGGTCCCCAACCCCTTGCTGGAAACCTTGGCCATGGAGCCATGGAACTCACACATGCAGGTGTAAGAGAGGAAGAAGCCACATGGAGCAGACGTGATGCTCAACCCCGTGCCCACCCTTGTCCCTGCCGTGGACTCTGGGGCCTCTCTCTAGAAGCAACGCACAAATGCTTGTGCTCATAACAGCTGAGGAACCACATGTAGTGATCCAAGAGGAGGCCACGGCAGCGCCGGCTCCCTGACAGCAGCATGGGTTTAGGTAACACTTGGAATTAGCTTTCAGTGCTCAGAACTTTGTGGAAAATAAGGGAGCACGGACCTCTGTTCTCAAAGTTACCACCGGCTTCTTGCTGCACATGGTTCTTCTGGAGGCATCGGTGTCTGCTTCCCTGGGTCTGTCTCACCCACCAGCCTGCCCATTGATTGGGACAGAGGGGCCCCACACCCACTCCAGGCACCTGTTCTCTTTGGGGCCACCTTCTGGCCACCCATGACATCCTGTACACAGGGGTGATGACTGCTGAGCCCTGGCCCCCAGGTCCAATAGGGCAGGGCATGCAGGTGGATGTCAGCCCTGGTGGGGATGCCGTCCAAGGCACGCAGCTCTGCCCAGTCCCTCAGAGAACCCACCTCGGACCAGCAGCCGGGCAGATGAGTAGGCAGCGCCCACAGCATTGCTGATGTAGACTGCGTACTGGCCAGCATCCTCCTGGCTGACTGAGACGACCTCCAGGGTGTGCAGGGTCTTCTTGTCGGTCATGCGGATGTGGGCAGATGCAGTCAGGGGCTGTCCATCTTTGAACCAGTACAGTCTGGGTGCCGGGTAGCCTGGGCCACGGGGGAAGAGGTCAGCATAAGACCACCTGCCAATGGGCACTGTGCTCTCCAGATGAGACATGGAAGAAGG